AGCAATTGAAGAGAGCAAAACTATGTTTAGAAGATATCTTTGAGAGGGCAAAAGAGACAATTGAAAGGGTCGGAGTATGTCTGAGAGATACCTGAGAGGAATTCAATTTAAATTGCGTTGAGTTGTTGTGAATTGTATGTGAATATACACAACTTATTTATACAAAAGTATGATAGCTATGTAAGGATAGAAAATATTACAATAATGATACAATCTCTGCAATAAAGAAAGTAGAATATCTAAAATACAATTGGATGAGAATAATGTCACATATTCTTATTCCATATTCGCATGTCAATAAATTCACATTTTGGATAAAAAACACTTGCATAAAACCTCGAAACAATTCATATCAGAAGTAATATCTCCTTTGAATGTGTTAAACAATTACAACAGATATCAAAAGAGACGCCGTATAGGTAGGATTAAGAAGGAAGGAAATGAACTCCCAGACCACAATATATGCCATATTAGGTGGCGAAACACACAACACCAACTTTTTATTAGTGGTCTTTCATTTCATCTGGCAACTGCAGCTGGAATGACGATTCATTGGATATATTTCGTTCATTTCTTGAATGTGGCTCAGATCATATAAGGCTTACAGCACGAACTAGTACGGACAATCATGTTTCATGCCCAATAATGGCGAGCTAGTGGGTTTTGCCTTGTCGAATGCGTGGTCTTATCAAGCATATTCGCTGGTTTATTGATGGTGGTGTACTGGTGGAGGTAGCATTTAGCAAAAAATCTTTGATCAGTGATCTTGCAAGGTTAAATTTAGTGGTGGCATTGCATTTTTGATTGAGTGTTGTTGCTAAAGTTTTCAAAAGATTATATGATGAAAAAAATGATGATAATCTCACGAGTTTAATAACTTTCACATAATATTATTATTGATTCAACATTACTCATATTGTTTGCTTCCTTGCAAGATATATATACAGCCACGTTGAGATTCATATTCATATTCTTCATCATCAACTTATCTTTCTAAAATCAACTCAAACTTATGTATTACATGTTAATTTGGTTAGATATATTCATAAACACTACAAAACAGTTCAAAATAAAATGGGAAATACCTCTCCCCTTGTGGCTAGGCAAAACCTTTAGCTATTAGGGTTAGTTATACTAAGCAGATTTTGTGTTCGAGTTGCAGGAAAGCTATCTACCATATTTTGTGTAATTATCATGGTCTATTAGACTTATGGGGTGTTTCATGACCTTGAGGATTAGATAGACTCCAATGTAGACCTAAATACCTTAGTTACCTAAAAGAAAAAGATAAGATGGGGTGTTTCATGACCTTGAGGATTAGATAGACTCCAATGTAGACCTAAATACCTTAGTTACCTAAAAGAAAAAGATAAGATGGGGTGTTTCATGACCTTGAGGATTAGATAGACTCCAATGTAGACCTAAATACCTTAGTTACCTAAAAGAAAAAGATAAGATGGGAAACAACTCAGTGTTGAAACTAAGTGTCAACATAAACATAATGCACTCTGCCGACTGAGGCAACAAGCCTTGCAAATTTTATTATCTTTGAGATAAGATAATATTAGTGCCTAGATTTGCGGGCTATGCTTGTTTATGATGTATGAATCTGATCCGACGAATATGGTTTAGTGAAATCTTGATTTTGAACCGTATCAGCAACCTGATAAAGAAGGAATTAGTATATTCTATTATGCATAAAGTCAAGAGATACATGGTGGCATGCTGCCCATTTTGGACAGAGCCCATAGCAAAATCTTTATTGTAACTAACACAAAATATGGATCATTCCTGGAGTTTGTTCAATTTTTTATTGATGATAGCATCAATGTGCTCGACAGCGTGTGTGTTACCTTTCACTTTCACCCTTCAGGAGCTCTTCATTATGTCTTTGATTAGGCCGCGAACTGCCCGCCCCAGAATGTGTTTTTTGCCTCTCGCTCAAGGCATATCTGCTGGCATCATTTTTATATTTGATTCTGTCTATTGCCTCCTACCATACCGGTCTGGTATCCTTATTACATTAATAAATGTCTTTGAATCATGGTCAAAGGGATGATTCTTTTGAATCCACCAAAGGTGATTGTTCAATCCCCAGAACTATTAGCAACTGTTATGTTTGGACAGTCAATTGATTAAAAATGGTTTTCATATCAATTTGAGATACTAATCTTGCATTTTCATGGTTCATTTATTGGTGTGCGATTGTAATATGTATAATATGCATTTGCTTTTATATCTTGTAACCTTGGGAATTGAAATTCTAAATTCTGTTTTAGTGGAACCATCATTTAAGAACGTAAAGTTTTTTTCTAATCATCGATACAACTTCTAGAGAAATTTTAATGTTATGACAAATGATACTCTCGATCATTGCTTTAAAACCTGGCCCGGTCCAACCCGACCGGTTCAACCTGGACCTAGGGCCTTCATCGAGCCAGGTAATCAATTTTCCTATTCACCGAAAACTATTGTTTTAAAAACCGGACCGGAGGGCAACCCGCTCTAATGGCCAGGCCACGGTTCAACCGGTCCAACCGGTTGGACCGTCGGTTGAACCGATGGTTTAACAGGTTTAAAATCTAACAAAAACACCCCTGATAAATACCATCAGACCCTATAGGTTTGAAATCTAGCAAACGCAACCCTGGCCAAATGCAAATTGGGGATCGATTGGGAAAGCAGCGGCAACACACCAGGGAGGGTAGATCTGATGATGGGGAGGGCGAATTGGCAACTAGCATGTAGAGCCATCATCGGAAAATGGCAGATCGATGGTGGAAATCAATGGTCGCGGTGGCTTTTTTCGGTGAGATGACTGGATCTTTGTGAACGACGGCAAGAGAGCTTGGGAGAAGGTAGATCGGTGGCTGAGGAAGCCTGTCGATGCCGGAGAAGGTCGATCGATGCCGGGAAATGGAAGAAATATCACGCGGCAAAGGTGGATGACGAAACATCACGCGACGGCTGGAGATGAAGTGTGACAGTGCCGGAGAAAGTCAGAAATCAGAAGGTGGTTTCCGACAATAAGGGAAGGTGGAAGGTCACCGAAAAAGGGGAGGTCATTGTCGATTTGCATTTGGCCAGAGGGTGTGTTTGTTATATTTTAAACTTGAAACAGTTAAAAAGAGTGACCCGACCAGGAGAAGGCCCCGGGTTCCGGTCCAACCGGTTGGACCGGTAGGTCCGGTCCGATTTTTAAAACATAGTCGAAAACCAAGGCCATCTCAAGAACATTTGCGACCCTTGGCAAAAGTTACTTTGGGGGTCTTCTAATAATATAAGTATATATTAAAAAAATTATTTCAAATTTATTTTCTTGCCTTTTGAGAAGCAAAATCACTAGGAGAGGTGGACGATGACCGGCGGGCTAACGGGGTTAGGTTGGTGGGGGGTTTTGGAGAGCAGATGCTAGAGAAGTGATGGGTGGTGAAATGGGTGATTTCTAATGCCAGGATTGACCGGAAAAGACTTGAGAAGTCGCGGCCCAAAAGGTATCGACGGCCGACTATGGCGGAGTAAATGGATGAGCTATGACAGGGGTTTTGGTGAGAAGGTTGAAGGGAGGAAGATGGTGGTGTTGGGGAAGGCCAACGATGTCAGGTACATGTCGAAAAGGTCAGAAATGGCTATCACACGCGGTGGAGCTAGATTGTGACATTCATAAAAAAATTGGTCAAATCGAGAGCTATCAAGGCTGGGAAAACACTTAGGAAATGATAAAATGATGGTTCCAGTTGATTTTGGTGAGAAAATCGACTGGAATCAGCTCTAAACGGCTGGCGACAGAAGAGGGGTGGAGATGATTTATGTGAATGTCGAATTTTGGGATTGAACTGGAGGTGAGTAATTTGAGACATTTAAATGACTATTTTAGTCTTTCATTGTTAAAAGAAATTCAATGTGTTAATTTAGGGATGTAAATTAGAATATATGAAACTAGAGGTACAAACTTGTTATTTTGTCAAACTTTGGGTGGAAATATATGTAAAAAGTTTATAGTAAATTCAGGCCTATTTCATTTTTTTGGGGACCCTTTGGATTGACCTAGATAAGAAATTATACACTATTTTTATTTTTTTAATATATTCAAAAAAAATTATAAAAAATTAGGCCTTTTTTTGACCCCATTTTTTGGGGGCCTTAGGCAAGTGCCCCACCTGCCTACCCCTTGAGCCGGCGCTGTCGAAAACCCTAGAAATTGGGATGACGATAGACGAACAATTGAAAGTCGGGATGTTGAGTTTTAAAGAGGAGAGGCCGACGAGTGCAATGGGTGGCAACAGAGGTGATTTTCAGTGAGTGAATCGACCGGAAATCAAAAAATACTTGTGGCAACAACAGCTGACGGTTGGCGGTGATTGGCAAGGCAAACGAGGGTGAGGTCAAATGGGTTTTGGTCAGGAGACTGAGGGAAGTATTTTCGTGGTGATAGGGGAGGGTTGTCGACGCCAACGGTGGTGAGAACTAGCATGGATTGTCGACATTGGCCGTGGTGAGATCTAACATGGGTTGTCGACATTGACAATTGTGAGATCTAGCCAAAATTAGTTTGATTTCAATTAAATCTTGGATAGATTTTCTAGGGAATGGCTCAAAGAACAATTGGGATTGCATTTAATGTGTTGACACTGCCAACTAGTCAATCACCAATTTGTATATTTGGTAAGTTTGCTAAATTTCTAACCTATAGAGACGTAATTGTAATTTTCTTGGGTGTATTTGCTAAATTTTAAACTTATTGAATACCCGATTAGACCTACCGATCAAACCTATCAACCTGGGACCTGACAGCTTTGCCAAGTTTCAACCCAGGTTGGTTATTAAAAAATTGCTCCCGAATGACCAATTTAAAATCTTGCACGCCCGATTCACCCATTGGAAAATCGAATCAACCACAATCTGAAAGCACTGCTAGTTCTGGCTCAAGGTGTAGGAATTGTATGATTCGCTGATAAAGACCTTGATATCCTGGTAAAACTTGATGAACTATTTTCTCATTTAAAGTCAATATATTCCTTTCTTCAGAAATTTAACAAAATATGTTAGGAAATGCAAATAGACACATAACTGAATCATTTCTGCAACGATAACTTAGCATCCCACAAAACTGCAATAACAATTATTATAGGCTGTTATGCACACTGAAGCTTCAAATAGTAACAAAAAATACACCAAAATCTCACATGCCAGTCAAGGGGAAGGAACAGCTACAAACTGAACACATAAATGAAGTAAATTATGTCTTTGCTTTTCCAGCCTGAAGTGATTGAATCCTCTGTTGTACTTTAAAGATCTACAAGACAACGAAACAATTTGAAGCAATTAATTCACATTGAAAAATACGATGCCCAATGAAAAAGATAGCATATTCATCAGGTAGCCAATTTTGCAGCAGTGTAGATGGTTTCATTATGGACTATTTGCCACGAGGCCCACAACCCAGGAGTGGAAATTTATACATCAGATTTTTTCAAGCACAAAAAATTAATAAGTCACACTCTTATCATCCCCAAATCTATTAAACCTAAAATCAGCTCGGGTCTAATACCAAGAAAGCAAATACACATTAAGTACTGAATGTCACTCTTTTTCTGAAGGTGAGTTATGACCAATAAAAGTTCTCTGCATGAAGTTTCAAATGTTTCCTCTCTCTTCCTACTTTGTGATGAATACTATTCATACAAAGGAGGTGGTGAGAGACAGGCAGAAGGATTGAAACAAAGAGATTTGAGGTACAATTATATATGATAGGATAGTCTACTTCACAGCTTCTCTCATAGTACAATCCAGTACCTGCCAATCTGATCTAATAAACTTCTATCATACTGGCGGAGCTGTATCTTAGCTTTTATTAAGTTTAACATTTAATCCTAATAGCATTTGACAATAAATTTGCTAAAGAACTTCAAACGATAACAACAGAGAACAAACGCACTAAGGAAATTTTCATTATAAGAACAAAAGCAAGCATATAGAAAGGTAGAACACTAACCGCCTCTTTTTGGCTATTTTGCTTTTCTTCCAAATCTTGAAGAGTTGCATCAAGTCGCTTCCTATTAGTCATACAGACAGATTAAAAGTCAAGGCTATGCAATAGCAAAGACAATCATACTAATAATGGTAATGACAAAAACAATAATAAAGTATTAAAAAAAATGAAGAGGAAGGATATAATGATACATGGAATCATAGAACACACTGTAAATAGTTGTTGCATAAGCACCTATAACATAAAGAAGAAAGACAGAAGACACACCAATCCATACAAACATTATTGCCTAGAAGAAAAGGTACTTCAAAAGCATATCTCACTGAAAATGTAGTTAATCACAAGCTAACAAGTATAGTAAAGCTGAAAAACAATCCTTAAGTTTATAACAATTAGTTGAAGTGAAGTAGTTCATTGGAATAACAAAAGTTCCAGAGAATAAATGCTTTGATTGGTTTCTGCATCCTAGTAATTAATCAAGGAAAGTTACAATAAAGATTGCTATCCATGAGCTTCACAAAAATTCTCCCCATTGCCTCCCTTCCCACCCGGACAAGAGATGTTCAGATGTAGCAAATTTTCCTTCTCATTAATTTGGCTCTGGCATTCACATAATCACATTGGAGCTTAAAAAAATTTGAAAACCAGACAATAATCAACATGCATTTAAAAAATATTCTACCCTTCATTCTGTATGGGGCTCAACACCTCCATTCCATCTTTGACAAGTAGCTGACAGAGAAAATGCCACCACATCTATGGACTGGAGGAAATACCAAAAGCTACAACTTAACTAAACCCAGAAATCTATTATTTCAGAAGTCTAACAGAATTCCAAAAAAAAATCTAAGTAAATCGTAACTTTAAAACATTGCAAGAAATATAAATGAACCAAGTAGCAAACACATACAATTCAGCAGAGATGTACTCAATTCTCTTGCGCACGTTCGCATTAGCCTCGGCTAAATCTTGCTTCACTAGTACCGGACCAATCAATTTGTATACATTTGCTCCTTCATTTAAAAAACCCAACTCCTACAATAATACACGTAAAATCATAACCATAGTAAAAACAAATCAACAAAACCAAATCACAATGACTTCAATGCCTTGTTTGGCTACTAAAAATATATCAGCAAAAAAATAAGTAAATCAATTTCAAGCAAACACTAATTGGAAAAACAAAAATACAGACCTTGAGGACGAGTTCGTTCTCTCCAAGCTGTATGGTGTACTTCTTTCTCACTTGGTGATTCTTAGCTATATCTGATACACAACAAATCTTTCATGTTAGGGTTTTTAATCGAATTCCTTTACAACTAAAAATTTGTATGAAGAAAACGAATATGAGACATAAATGAACTTGCCTTTTTGGTGTTTACTGAGATCATTAACTTTGTTTTCGAGTTCACGCTGGAGGTCTCGAAGTGCTGCCGAAGATGCCATTGCTGTCTTCGTGTTCTGCTGCTTAGTCGTCTCGAGCGAGTGTCGTTTCGGAACCAGTTTATTTAGGGCCAGGCCTATGTAACGTAATGGACTTGGGCCTTGTGTTAAGCCCTGACTGGATTTTATTTTAATAGCGAGTTTCTAATCTTTATTTATTAATTTTGTGAAATTATAAAATATATATTTTAAATGAAATTTCACAAGGACATATAGTAGGTTCCCTTCTTTATTGGACCTTAAATATCACTACTCTTTAATGGAATCTAGTACGTTTCCCTTCTTTATTTGAACTTTACTTAAAACGTGCTTAAAATCTATAGTATTTTTGAAATATCATTTTAAATTTTTTAATGTATACATATCAAATTATCTAATTATTAGTAAATATACACAAATGTAATCAGTTGTTATCGAGCCACACAAGCCTTTATCACTTTTGGTATTGAGTTAGTCTCCATTTGGTCATTGTAATCAAACCATAATTAGTGTATTATTGGACAACTTGGTCAACACACCCTCTCCCGAAAAAAAAATTTCAAATTGATATTTGATTAACTACTCTTTGATAGTTGGGTGGGACGATAAAGACTCTTAGATGTATTACTAAAAAAATTTTAAGTTCGCTCAATTGCTAATAGAAACAGTCAAAAAATTTATCGAAGTACGTAGAGGTGGGCAAGCGACTGGTCCCAAATGGGACCAGTCACTTATGGGCCTAGGACCGGTCCCAGGCCTATGAGAAAAACCAGAACCCAGACCAGGCCCTAGGCTAGTTAGGACTGGTCCCATGGGCCTGGGACCGGTCATAGGACTGGTCCTATGGGCCTTGGATAATTTCATTTTCCCCTCTCAATTTTTTTTATATTTTGGGGGCAAAATAAAATTTTATAGGGGGTTTTTAGTATTTTTTAGGGGTAAAATTTATAAATTTTTTAGACCTGGAATATTTTTTTTTTAATAAATTTTGTAAAATTTTATTTTAACCCTCGTAATTTATATTTATTTTAAAATTAACAGGAAGTTTTATGTAATTTGGCAGGAACTACATTAAAAAAATACAATTTTTTTTGGGCCCAGGCCTAGGACCGATCCCAGGTCCGGGCCTTGGAGGAGGGCCCAGTGGAGGACCCGGGCCCTCCTTCTTAGGCCTGGTCCCATTTTGGGACCAGATTTCCTAGGTCCAGTCCTCTTAAGGACCGATCTTAGGATCGGGTTTTAGAGCTAGGCTTTTAAACCCAATCCTAAATGCCCAACTTTAGAAGTACGCATAAACTGATCAAAACAGTTTTAATCACCAAAAATAAAGTTCTAATAGTGTAAGGTGATACTGTTCGTGCGTTGGATTCGGGGCAACGTTGATTATAATATTGTATTTATTTTAAAAAAGCATGTTTTGAATGTGAGGGTGACATGTGTTCTATTTTTCTCTGTTAAATAAGACCTAACCAAATTAACTTGGGGAACTCAAAAATATCTTCAAAACGCCCTCCCGAATTTCTGCCACTCAAATTTTGTGTCTAGGTTAAAAAAGTATTAGTCTTTTTATAAATAAAAATATGTACAACTTTCCATAAACGATTCTTTTATAATTCCTGCTGATGAATAATCAATAATTCACGAGTAAAATTGGACAAAAATCAGTACGGTCATACTCATACGACTCATACCGCGGTGTGCTGGGGCCTGGGCCGGTCGCGAGCCCAGTTCTCAATACACGCAATTAAAACTTAAAAATAATAATAAAATATAAAGGTGGTGGGAACACTATGCAGCGGACCTTTTACTTTTTCTGGTTCACTCGCGGCGGAAATTAAACGGAGTCGTTTTTGTCAAATTAATCATAGATAAAGTAGCTAATAGTAAATAAAGTAACAGCTACAAGCAAAGACGACAAAGCTGGAATCTTGGATAAAAGCCACATTGCCTACTCTTCTTTTCTCTGTCCAAGAGCAATTTCTGCTCACTCAAACCAGCTACTAAGAGAGAGAGAGAGAACTCTGAAGATATTATTACCCAAAACAATGGTGCAGAGCTCTGCAAGAACCAGATGGGTCTCTTTGTTTATGCTTCTTCTTTCTCATATGGCTACTACCAGAGCCCTTGTTGAAGATGGTATGTGTATTTACTTCTAATCTACTTGCTTTTTAGATTTATGCCTTGTGGGTATCGTTATTTCTGAGATCTGATGCACTTTGTGGTGGCTCTTTTCTGCTTCCTTAATCTATCTTTCAGTGTGTGTTTTAAAAACTCTATAGAATGCTGAAACATGTGAGTAATATATATATATATATATTTTTTTTTTTGAAGTTAAAATTCTTGCGATTATGTTACTAGGATTTACTTATAACAAGTTGAATATGGTCATTGGCCATGTTAATTTGCTCTTGTTTCTTCTGATTCAAGAACATCAACAAATGTAGGACTTCGTACTAGGGCTCTGCTTTTAAGAACCCAAGAAAAAAGTTTAACCTTTCTGTTAAAAATGAGCATTATTTAGTTAACTACTGTTCTTATTTATAGAGGGAAATTTTTCAATATACATAGAAGGAAGCAGGCTTTGTGCTAAATGTGCTTTCAGAAGTTATATTAGAGAGAAAGCTAGATTTTGTTTTGGTTAAGTTTACAGATGGGGTTTATTTTATACTTTGATGAGAAGTCTTATAGGGGCCCCTAAATGATACTATATTTTTTTAGTTTAATCTTGTGTTGAGTGTCTGTGGTTCATTATGCTCTTCGAGCCAGCAAAAACTTTTGTTGGCTCCACCCACCATCGAGTGTTTCTCGGTTGGAGAATTCTATTCTCACTGTAATGACTACTCCATTCATGCCGTTTATTCCTCTTGTTTTGTTGGAACATTTCTCTTTCTTTATTACTAAGAATGAATTCTTTAATGGCTTTATGATTGTTTTTGCTTGCTTTCTCTCAATGGTCATTGTGAAAATACCCATTGGGTAAATAATGTCAATTCTTAGTAGGAACTGTTGTTACCTAACAGTTGTTGCATCTTTTTGCTGCAAACACATAAAAAGAAAAGAGGATGATGCCATTGAAGAAGTTGGTGGATTTATGGGCCAATGGGCTATCTCCATTCATCTTTTTTCTTCATTCTTAAGTAGAGTAAAATGACTTTATTGCATCATTTTCCCGCCAAAATCGGTGCTTTTTTACCTTGATTCAACAAAACGACAAGGGCCCTTTTCGTAAAAGCGAGTGGCTCCATATATATATATATTTTTATTATTATTATTATTTTTTTTATCACCGAATTTCACCCTTTTGTTTTGGAATTGATGCACCGTTTCATACAAATTTTCTTCTCTGCGATGTGTAACGTAATTGTAAAAAGCACTTTTTCAACTTTAGTCATATGGAGAGGACTGCCGTTGAAAATATGGACCAAAGTACCAAACGGTGGGGACTGGGGACTGTGAGGACCCACGCCCGCGGCTTCTGCGTCCAATTCGGATTTATACGGTCCTTATGAGTTATGGCCTTATTTTGGTTCGCAATTTCACACCACGTCACTATTTTGTCACGTAACTAACGTGAAAGACTATTTTTTTTTAAAAAATTTTCTTGATAATGCTTTCATATATTTATGGCATGAGCTTCCTCTTTTGTGAGGTCTGAGGCCTGTACGCAGATAAGATTATCCACTGAGCTTATTGTATTCGTAAAATGGTTTTATATAAGTCGCTTTTTTCATTAAAAATTCAAAAAATAATTATAAGAACTTGAATGTGACTTGTCATATTATTATAAGAAGCTCTTATCAATTAATTGCTTTATCAATTTCTGGCACTATTAATTCATTAATTGATAAACTTGTTTATTATAAGGAAGTTGATAAGATTTATTGACTGTTGCAATTATTATAATAAATATCAAATAAAATCATTAAATATTTTAATTTACAGGTCTGCTACCAAACGGCGATTTTGAGGCAGCCCCATCGAACGGCTCTCCAAGCGAGAGTCTGGGGGGCGTTACTGAGATTCCGAGCTGGAAAGTAAAAGGCACCGTTGAGCTAGTCTCATCAGGGCAAAAACAAGGTGGGATGATCCTCATTGTGCCACAAGGTTCTCACGCCGTTAGATTAGGCAACGACGCGGAGATCAGCCAGGAACTGAATGTGGCAAAGGGATCCACTTACTCCGTTACGTTTAGTGCGGCGCGCACGTGCGCACAGCTGGAGTCACTAAACGTGTCCGTGCCACCTGCATCACAGACCATAGACCTTCAGACGTTGTACAACGTGCAAGGATGGGACCCTTACTCGTGGGCCTTTGTGGCCCAAGACGATACTGTGGATTTGGTTTTTAGGAATCCGGGTATGGAAGATGACCCCACATGTGGTCCCATTATTGATGACATTTCTATCAAGAAGCTTTTCAGTCCTGATAAACCCAAAGGTAATTTTATTTTATTTGTCTTTTTTTTTTTTTTTTACTTTTGTGGGTCCAAGTGTAGGTGTGGTTTGATGCTTTTTTATCAGCATCCAAAGCATTGATTGAAGATTTTTCTTCAAGGGGTCTCTGCTCTTGTCAAAAGTCAAACTGAGAGCAAAAATTCAACTCTTATCACTCTAAAAGTCTAATCTCTTAGGAAAATAAATAAATATGGTATTTGTTTAATAATTTATGATAAAGACCGGTTCACTTATAATTTTTTTCTCACTATCTCAACCTAATAACTCGAAAATAGACCGACGAGACCTATACTGAGTTGATGAGACCTATTTACAAACTGGTTAAATATGAATTGTTAAGAAAAGTTTTATGAAATTGGGTGGTTGTAAGTATAGTGGTATCATAATTTATTATTTATTAGTTCACATACCTTCTGCAGAAATTCATTATGTGTACGGTGTACCTGGCCAGATATTAAAGTATTATGCCCCTTTAGTTGCACAACTTTTCCTTCATAATTAAAGAGTCGCATTATTGGTGGGAGAGAGAGACCTTCCTTACAGGATAGGGCAAGAGATTTTATAGTATTAATTTGCTTAGCTATAAAGGGGAAATGGGGCAGGAGATTTATTGTGATTAAAGAAGATGCAAGTGTTTGGTTCTTGAGAAAGTAATGTATATGGTATTATCATTATCAATTAAGAATCACAAGTGGGAAATCAATATGATCTTAAATTATAAGTTTATGTCACAATTTTTGGTCATAGCCAATCTGAGATTATCCATTGGTTTGTGCTTTAATTTGTAAAAAAAGATGGTTGAATGATCTCTCTGCTATTGATTGAAACTGAATATTTTGGCGGTAATCTTGCAAGGTTTTAAAAAGTTAATGCTCGGAACCATTATGTTGATCGGTTTTCATCTGCTATGTTCTTTGCAGACAATGCTGTTGTCAATGGTGATATGGAAGAAGGCCCGTGGATGTTCAGAAATGTGTCACTAGGGGTCTTAATTCCAACCAACCTTGATGAAGAAACATCCTCATTGCCCGGTTGGATTGTTGAATCAAACAGGGCTGTCCGCTACATAGACTCCTACCATTATGCAGTCCCACAGGGTAAACGAGCTGTAGAATTACTCTCGGGGAAGGAAGGTATCATCTCTCAAATGGTTGAAACCTCGGCAAACAAGGATTACATCATGACTTTTTCTTTAGGCCATGCTGGGGACAAATGCAAGCAACCTCTTGCAGTTATGGCCTTTGCCGGAGACCAAGCCCAGATAGTCCATTACACGCCCAATTCCAACTCAACCTTTAACAGTGCCAATCTGAATTTCACCTCCAAGGCGGACAGGACACGCATTGCATTCTATAGTGTGTATTACAATACAAGAACCGATGATTTGAGCTCACTATGTGGTCCGGTGGTGGATGATGTGAGGGTGTGGTTTTCAAGTTCCATCAGAAATGTGTTTGGCAGATTGGGGTTGGGACTTGGGGTTGGATTTTGGGTGGTTGTTTTTGTTTTGTTTTAGAGTTTGCTTTAATGTATTGTTTTAAGTATGGTCTAATAGGTTTGACACGGGGAGTGTTGGTAAACCAAAATCCCATGTCTACTATGTTTGTACGTAAGCTTTTGCTTCATAGTTTTGTTATGAAAAAATGAGCTTGCCTTATCTTATTGCACTTTTCTTCTCATTAACTTCATCCACTCCAATGTTGTTTCCCCTTTTATGATTTTACTCAATTGAATGGGGGATTATTTTACTTTCAAATAAGTTTTTCTAACTAGAATTCATATTAAGGTACTATAATCATGGATTAATTATTTGAAGTAATTAGATGTGTTGTTGCGCAACAATTCTATTTTTCTCTATTAAATAAGACCTAACCAAATTAACTTGGGGAACTCAAAAATATCTTCAAAACGCCCTCCCGAATTTCTGCCACTCAAATTTTGTGTCTAGGTTAAAAAAGTATTAGTCTTTTTATAAATAAAAATATGTACAACTTTCCATAAACGATTCTTTTATAATTCCTGTTGATGAATAATAAATAATTCACGAGTGAAATTGGACAAAAATCAGTACGGTCATACTCATACCGCGGTGTGCTGGGGCCTGGGCCGGTCGCGAGCCCAGTTCTCAATACACGCAATTAAAACTTAAAAATAATAATAAAATATAAAGGTGGTGGGAACACTATGCAGCGGACCTTTTACTTTTTCTGGTTCACTCGCGGCGGAAATTAAACGGAGTCGTTTTTGTCAAATTAATCATAGATAAAGTAGCTAATAGTAAATAAAGTAACAGCTACAAGCAAAGACGACAAAGCTGGAATCTTGGATAAAAGCCACATTGCCTACTCTTCTTTTCTCTGTCCAAGAGCAATTTCTGCTCACTCAAACCAGCTACTAAGAGAGAGAGAGAGAACTCTGAAGATATTATTACCCAAAACAATGGTGCAGAGCTCTGCAAGAACCAGATGGGTCTCTTTGTTTATGCTTCTTCTTTCTCATATGGCTACTACCAGAGCCCTTGTTGAAGATGGTATGTGTATTTACTTCTAATCTACTTGCTTTATAGATTTATGCCTTGTGGGTATCGTTAGTTCTGAGATCTGATGCATTCATTTTGTGGTGGCTCTTTTCTGCTTCATTAATCTATCTTTCAGTGTGTGTTTTAAAAACTCTATAGAATGCTGAAACATGTGAGTAATATATATATATATATATATATTTTTGAAGTTAAAATTCTTGCGATTATGTTACTAGGATTTACTTATAACAAGTTGAATATGGTCATTGGCCATGTTAATTTGCTCTTGTTTCTTCTGATTCAAGAACATCAACAAATGTAGGACTTCGTACTAGGGCTCTGCTTTTAAGAACCCAAGAAAAAAGTTTAACCTTTCTGTTAAAAATGAGCATTATTTGGTTAACTACTGTTCTTATTTATAGAGGGAAATTTTTCAATATACATAGAAGGAAGCAGGCTTTGTGCTAAATGTGCTTTCAGAAGTTATATTAGAGAGAGAGCTAGATTTTGTTTTGGTTAAGTTTACAGATGGGGTTTATTTTATACTTTGATGAGAAGTCTTATAGGGGCCCCTAAATGATACTATATTTTTTTAGTTTAATCTTGTGTTGAGTGACTGTGGTTCATTATGCTCTTCGAGCCAACAAAAACTTTTGTTGGCTCCACCCACCATCGAGTGTTTCTCGGTTGGAGGATTCTATTCTCACTGTAATGACCACTCCATTCATGCCGTTTATTCCTCTTGTTTTGTTGGAACATTTCTCTTTCTTTATTACTAAGAATGAGTTCTTTAATGGCTTTATGATTGTTTTTGCTTGCTTTCTCTCAATGGTCATTGTGAAAATACCCATTGGGTAAATAATGTCAATTCTTAGTAGGAACTGTTGTTACCTAACAGTTGTTGCATCTTTTTGCTGCAAACACATAAAAAGAAAAGAGGATGATGCCATTGAAGAAGTTGGTGGATTTATGGGCCAATGGGCTATCTCCATTCATCTTTTTTCTTCATTCTTAAGTAGAGTAAAATGACTTTATTGCATCATTTTCCCGCCAAAATCGGTGCTTTTTTACCTTGATTCAACAAAACGACAAGGGCCCTTTTCGTAAAAGCGAGTGGCTCCATATATATATATATTTTTATTATTATTATTATTTTTTTTATCACCGAATTTCACCCTTTTGTTTTGGAATTGATGCACCGTTTCATACAAATTTTCTTCTCTGCGATGTGTAACGTAATTGTAAAAAGCACTTTTTCAACTTTAGTCATATGGAGAGGACTGCCGTTGAAAATATGGACCAAAGTACCAAACGGTGGGGACTGGGGACTGTGAGGACCCACGCCCGCGGCTTCTGCGTCCAATTCGGATTTATACGGTCCTTATGAGTTATGGCCTTATTTTGGTTCGCAATTTCACACCACGTCACTATTTTGTCACGTAACTAACGTGAAAGACTATTTTTTTTTAAAAAATTTTCTTGATAATGCTTTCATATATTTATGGCATGAGCTTCCTCTTTTGTGAGGTCTGAGGCCTGTACGCAGATAAGGTTATCCACTGAGCTTATTGTATTCGTAAAATGGTTTTATATAAGTCGCTTTTTTCATTAAAAATTCAAAAAATAATTATAAGAACTTGAATGTGACTTGTCATATTATTATAAGAAGCTCTTATCAATTAATTGCTTTTTCAATTTCTGGCACTATTAATTCATTAATTGATAAACTTGTTTATTATAAGGAAGTTGATAAGATTTATTGACTGCTGCAATTATTATAATAAATATCAAATAAAATCATTAAATATTTTAATTTACAGGTCTGCTACCAAACGGCGATTTTGAGGCAGCCCCATCGAACGGCTCTCCAAGCGAGAGCCTGGGGGGCGTTACTGAGATTCCAAGCTGGAAAGTAAAAGGCACCGTTGAGCTAGTCTCATCAGGGCAAAAACAAGGTGGGATGATCCTCATTGTGCCACAAGGTTCTCACGCCGTTAGATTAGGCAACGACGCAGAGATCAGCCAGGAACTGAATGTGGCAAAGGGGTCCACTTACTCCGTTACGTTTAGTGCGGCGCGCACGTGCGCACAGCTGGAGTCACTAAACGTGTCCGTGCCACCTGCATCACAGACCATAGACCTTCAGACCTTGTACAACGTGCAAGGATGGGACCCTTACTCGTGGGCCTTTGTGGCCCAGGATGATACTGTGGATTTGGTTTTTAGGAATCCGGGTATGGAAGATGACCCCACATGTGGGCCCATTATTGATGACATTTCTATCAAGAAGCTTTTCAGTCCTGATAAACCCAAAGGTAATTTTATTTTATGTGTCTTTTTTCTTTTTTTTTACTTTTGTGGGTCCAAGTGTAGGTGTGGTTTGATGCTTTTTTATCAGCATCCAAAGCATTGATTGAAGATTTTTCTTCAAGGGGTCTCTGGTCTTGTCAAAAGTCAAACTGAGATAGCAAAAATTCAACTCTTATCACTCTAAAAGTCTAATCTCTTAGGAAAATAAATAAATATGGTATTTGTTTAATAATTTATGATAAAGACCGGTTCACTTATAATTTTTTTCTCACTATCTCAACCTAATAACTCGAAAATAGACCGACGAGACCTATACTGAGTTGATGAGACCTATTTACAAACTGGTTAAATATGAATTGTTAAGAAAAGTTTTATGAAATTGGGTGGTTGTAAGTATAGTGGTATCATAATTTATTATTTATTAGTTCACATACCTTCTGCAGAAATTCATTATGTGTACGGTGTACCTGGCCAGATATTAAAGTATTATGCCCCTTTAGTTGCACAACTTTTCCTTCATAATTAAAGAGTCGCATTATTGGTGTGAGAGAGAGACCTTCCTTACAGGATAGGGCAAGAGATTTTATAGTATTAATTTGCTTAGCTATAAAGGGGAAATGGGGCAGGAGATTTATTGTGATTAAAGAAGATGCAAGTGTTTGGTTCTTGAGAAAGTAATGTATATGGTATTATCATTATCAATTAAGAATCACAAGTGGGAAATCAATATGATCTTAAATTATAAGTTTATGTCACAATTTTTGGTCATAGCCAATCTGAGATTATCCATTGGTTTGTGCTTTAATTTGTAAAAAAAGATGGTTGAATGATCTCTCTGCTATTGATTGAAACTGAATATTTTGGCGGTAATCTTGCAAGGTTTTAAAAAGTTAATGCTCGGAACCATTATGTTGATCGGTTTTCATCTGCTATGTTCTTTGCAGACAATGCTGTTGTCAATGGTGATATGGAAGAAGGCCCGTGGATGTTCAGAAATGTGTCACTAGGGGTCTTAATTCCAACCAACCTTGATGAAGAAACATCCTCATTGCCCGGTTGGATTGTTGAATCAAACAGGGCTGTCCGCTACATAGACTCCTACCATTATGCAGTCCCACAGGGTAAACGAGCTGTAGAATTACTCTCGGGGAAGGAAGGTATCATCTCTCAAATGGTTGAAACCTCGGCAAACAAGGATTACATCATGACTTTTTCTTTAGGCCATGCTGGGGACAAATGCAAGCAACCTCTTGCAGTTATGGCCTTTGCCGGAGACCAAGCCCAGATAGTCCATTACACGCCCAATTCCAACTCAACCTTTAACAGTGCCAATCTGAATTTCACCTCCAAGGCGGACAGGACACGCATTGCATTCTATAGTGTGTATTACAATACAAGAACCGATGATTTGAGCTCACTATGTGGTCCGGTGGTGGATGATGTGAGGGTATGGTTTTCAAGTTCCATCAGAAATGTGTTTGGCAGATTGGGGTTGGGACTTGGGGTTGGATTTTGGGTAGTTGTTTTTGTTTTGTTTTAGAGTTTGCTTTAATGTATTGTTTTAAGTATGGTCTAATAGGTTTGACACGGGGAGTGTTGGTAAACCAAAATCCCATGTCTACTATGTTTGTACGTAAGCTTTTGCTTCATAGTTTTGTTATGAAAAAATGAGCTTGCCTTATCTTATTGCACTTTTCTTCTCATTAACTTCATCCACTCCAATGTTGTTTCCCCTTTTATGATTTTACTCAATTGAATGGGGGATTATTTTACTTTCAAATAAGTTTTTCTAACTAGAATTCATATTAAGGTACTATAATCATGGATTAATTATTTGAAGTAATTAGATGTGTTGTTGCGCAACAACCAGAGGTATCTTGTCGACCTTACTGGATAAGATGTGTGCATAGTTAAGAATAACCAGTTTGTAATGAGGTAGGAAAATGGTAATGGGATGACAAGAAACAATTTTTAAAATGGTTCAGTGAGTAAGAATCAAGCCTACGTCTATTGTTATATTATTGTTTTGCATTTGTTTTATACACAAGGTGATTACAAGATGGAAACACTTTATAGCGAGCTAAAACTCTCTTTATGTGGTTTCTTATGCTTGTATGAATGGTCGATTTCTCAAAATAAAGGTGAATCTTTCCTTTTATACGCACTGTTTAACAATGGTTGGGAGTGGTTGTTACAAGGTGGATTATACGTATAATCCCTCGTAATTCGGATCTGAGTTAACTATGTCCATGCTTAAGTCTTAGCATCCATGTTTAATACTAACAAGCTTGTTGGATAAGTCATCAACTGTGGAAGCAACACGTGGGACGAGCCTGTTCGTCGGATCTCGATATGATGTATAGACAGGCGATACAAATGTGACTGTAAAAAGTATGCTCAACAAGATGTAATTGTTTAATTGTAACATAATTAATTTAAAAATTCGTTCTAATTATCTAATGATTAAATCAGTTGTTGGAAATTCGTCTAAGTCGCTGTAGAAGTTGTAACTGACTAACCGTGATTCTACTAGAAGTTGTCATGAATCACGAATATAAGTAGTGCCCTATGCTAAGCTCCAACTTCAGAAACGGTTTGTCGTTTGATTGACGAGGTATAAAAGCGAACGTCGTTGCCTCAGAAAGTGCATTAAAAAAAGAAAAAACATTTCAACACGAGGAGAGCAAAGGACCGAAAAGCCCACACAAGTTTTGAATCTTATTAAAAAGACCCTTGTAGGGGAGATCAGAGAGAGAGAGAGAGAGGCGAGACGAGAGAGCGGGCGAGAGAAGAACAATGGGCGGGAGGGCTTTTTAACGAAGAAAAATCTTTAATCATTTCTTGCCTTAATAGTCTTCTTCTTTCTTCTTTTTTGTAACTCTCCACTCTCCTCCTTTCCTTTTCTCCTAATGGACGGCGTTAACGGTTCCACCTCCACCACCGCCACGGTTGTCGATGAAACCGTTGATGTTTTACTACCGTCTCCTCCGCATGATCCTGATTTCTCTCCTGTTGGATCACCCGAGTCCGTTGATGTTCCTATTCCACCGTCTGATGATGATCCTGATCACGTTCCCGCTGAAGATCAAGCGAAAGAACCCGAACTCCCATCTACTGCACCCGTTCTTGCCGACGATCTGAAACTTAAGATTATTAAGCAGGTAATCTTTTTCTCTCTTTTTCTAATTCTATTAATTCGAATAATATGTTCTCGAGGAATCATAGGTTTATGCGAACTGAAGAAATGAATGGTTTTAGTTTAATTTTTGGTTGGTTGTTTGGCGTTGCAGGTCGAATATTATTTTAGTGATGAAAATTTGCCCACCGACAAGTATATGATGAGTTTGATTAAGAAGAACAAAGAAGGGTTTGGTAAGTACTTTGCATTATGGAGTTGTGTTCTGAATGTTCTAGAAACGACTGATAGATAAACCGCTAAAGTATTTGTGCATTGTTTTCGATTTATATAAGTCTATGCATTTGTGTTGGTCTTGTAATTATGCCCAAATAAGAAATAAACCAAACTCATGTTTATTTAAATTCATGTTTCTATGAGTTCCATGGGCAATTGCCTTCTTTGCCAATATAAGTTACGGGTAAACTGGAGAATAGATTAAATAGGGAGGTTTAGAAGTAAGACATATGATCTACAAGGGAGTTATTATATGTGACTGGAGTATAATTTCTTGGGGGAATCGGTTTTTCCTTTTTCATGGTTTGCCAACCAATAAGTCAGTTTGGTTGCTAACTTGCCAACTAATATGGGGCAGAATTGAGGGGACCTTGCCGTATTTGTTAGAAGAAATTGTTGATACTCATGCTGTTGTAGATTTCTAAACCTGAGAATATTTCTAAACCTGAGAATTTTCAAACTATAGAATATCTGTTCTTTTGTGATTTCTTTGGCAAGACTGGGAACTTTTATGATAATTTATGATTTTGAATAAATTTTGGACCAACATAAAAAAACAATATGCTATTTAATCAACAGTATATCTTGAAAGTATCTCTATAATAGAGATGATGAAGGTGATGAATTAAAGCAGGTACTTATGACAGGATGACTAGCCTGGATGTTTTCCTGGTGCAGCAAATTTTGCTGTGCCGAGCTTCGGCGGTCAATCTGAATGGCTATACAACTGACTGCTGGCTGATTCCTTCTCTATTTGAGAACCTTTTTTATAGTTGAACTTCTTCCTAGGTTTTTGCTTTGTTCTTATGTAATTTCTTGTATGGTCATCTAAAGTCATGGTTTGAGTTGCACCTGAATGTCTCTGGGAACTGATGGTTGCATAACTTGATCTAAGGTCTTCAAGGTTTGAAGGTTATCTTATTTTCTAATTAAAATATCAATCATGTAACTTGTTATACGACTCAATCTACTTACTGTGGAAATTTTGCTTGCAGTTCCTATCTCGGTTATTGCTTCTTTTAGGAAATTGAAGAAGCTTACCCAAGACAACAAATCAATAGTGGCTGCACTCAGGGAATCGTCCTTGCTTGTAAGCTTTCATTTTTTCCTTTAATAATGACAATGGTGTTGGTAGTCTTTACATGCTGCAATATTTTATATCCTAAGCTTTATAAAAATGCAATGAATTTAATTACAAATTGAAAAGGTTCTTTGTGCTTTCGTTAGTTTCTAATTTTCATAAACCAAAAACTATAGGTTGTTAGTTCAAATGGGAAGAAAGTGAAACGCCTTAATCCTCTTCCAGTCACTGAGGTCAAGGATTCAAAGGTATTTATTTGAAACAAACTTGATTATTTCTTCTGATATGTTCTTTCAAAAAAGTAATTTGGCATCTTATTTCTGGACCCTAGTTATTCACTGTTTTGGTAGAAAATCTGCCAGAGGATCACTCGGTGGAGAACATCCGGAAAATATTTGCTCAAGCCGGAAAGTATGTTTATTATCTTTTTGAATATTTGTTTTCTTTATAATACTATTGTATTTTGAGTCTGCACTTTCTGCATTTTTTTATTGATTTTAAAATTCTTTCTGAATTTCAGTATAAGAAAGATATGCATCCGTGATCCACATGCCACGGAAGAGTCAAAAAAAGGCAGCAAGGCTGAGTTTATGATCAGTAATAAGGTATGGACTGAATAAGAAAATGTTTAAGGTGGGAGGTTTTATTGTACATGATCATGACTGATTATTTCTATTGACCAAACTTGGCTTTGATTTGTTTTTCCCGCTGGTCTCTGGGCTGGTGGTAAAGATTAATGTAATTAAGTGGAAGGAGGATGTCATATATTCCATTGTTATCACTTGACAAGAATTATTTTTATTGAATTATTAATTTGAAGGAGAGTGATATAATTATCAGCTTGATTTTGTTGATAAAAAAAGAGAATCAAATTATTTTCTCATCAGTCAGTTTTGTTGATCCATAATCATTTAATTTTCTGGTGCCTGTATGCAGTTGCATGCACTAGTGGAGTATGAGACCGTGGAGGCTGCTGAGAAAGCAGTGAGTATCAAGGAAATCCCCACATTACTGCATTTGCTTTATGATGCTTTTATTAGTGATTTAAGGTCTTGATTTTCTGGTAATTGGATCAGGTGGTAACATTAAATAATGAACAAGACTGGAGAAATGGCATGCGGGTTAAGCTTCTTAAGCGAGTGGTAATTGATACTTATTATTATTCTTAGTTACTATTGGCAATAACAAGCGCTGATGTTGGATTATCTGTTACAGGCCCAGTATGGCCACAGAAGGCAATGCTGGAGGGTTGATTCCGAAAGGAGTAACACTGGGCGAACATCTGATCCTTTGGGTGATGAAGAGAACAATAACTTAAGTGAGAATCAGGATGATACCCCTGATGAAGAGGTAAATGTTCTGACATTTTCCATTGGTTTAGAGTCACATTGTTGATTGAATTAATAGAAACATGATCTTTTTTACGATTTCATGTTGAACTAAAGCAAGTTGGTAGGAAAATGCCCAACGATTGTACTTTAAATAAAACAAAATATATTGCCCGCTGATATTGTAATTATTGGGTGAGACAAGATAGAAGAACTTGTGTGTGTGTGTATATAATTATTTGTTGCTCCTTTTCAGGATGGGGACCGTATATCCAAGGAGAAAAATGGGCAGAAAGGCAGAAATCGTGGACGACCAAGGAGACAAAGATACCGTGGAAGCAATGGGCTGGGTATTTAGATTAATCACTGCATTTACTTTTGGTTCTTCTTTTCCTTGACCCATGTAAATAAAAACTTGAACATTGATTGACTATACTCTGTCTTCTCCAGGCCATGGAACAATTTCCTCCAGTTATGAAGCTGCGAAGCCACCTCCTGGCCCAAGAATGCCCGATGGAACCAGAGGGTTCACCATGGGACGTGGTCGACCTCCCGTTTCTATCTAAAATTAGCCAGTGATTTGATCTCTACATCTATTGTAAAATCCTTGTGCTATATTTGTATAGATGTGGAAAATGGATGTGGATGTTTGAATGTGCTTGCAATGACTAAATGTTGTAAGACAAAGGTGTTTTCTAGGTTGTAACACCTGGGCTTTGATGCTGCTGTTTAGTTTACGAATGAAGCAGCATTACGAGTAAAACGGGCTCGTATTTGGGATGTGCTCTCCTCTTTGAAATGATATTTTATAAATATAATTAAAGTTTTAACGTTAAAGTTTACATTACAGGAATCTACTCTTGATTTCTGCGACGAGAGATGCAGAAGAAAATAGATTCGGATTAGATTGGATTTGGGTTTTTATTATTAGATGAGTAAATAGTATTACTATCTTGACAAACGTCTCTTACTACTTTCTCTCATAAACACTTGTCGTGGCACCGAGTTGACTTTACATGTCAAATTATGAACTTTGATTAAACATAAACGGTCGTTACTTAAGGAGGAACGGTCAGTCATTCATAAGGAACAACTGTTTCATTCATAAAAAACGGCCGTTTTCATAAATAATGGTTGTTCCATAAGATGGAACCTCCATTCTATAAAGACGGAATGGGGGTTCCATAAGCCCATTTGGAATGGTCGTTCCTCATCTAAGGAATGGTCGTTCCTATTTCATAACGACTGTTCCTTATAGAAAAACGATCGTTTTTTAGGTATAGTCGAAATCATTTTATGATTGTTCTGGTGGGAGTTGCCAACTCAGTGTTACGTGTGTGGTTTGTGAGAGAAATTAGTGAGAGACGTTTGTCAGGCTAGTATTATTGTTATTAGATAGGATCGAATCATTTATAGCTCTGAATTGTATCTATTTTAGCATTCGATTGTAGTAAGTTTATACGTAGTATGTTCATTACTATTTATTTATAGTAATTTCATTATTACCAGTTAAATTCTCAATCTAAATGATTGATCCAAATCTGTTAGCATTTGGATGTGGTATTATATTAAAATTTTCATCTCCATTATTAAAAGAAAAATACTACATCCATAACTTCTTCTCACAATTCTGACGTGATAGTTTATAATTAGTCAGCGGTCTCTCCTAGGTCTTACCTGCAATTGGATAGATCGTATCATCTAGGCCCCATCTAATTAAACCTGGCAAAATGGGCGGACAGATTGGGTGCGGGTCAGGTCTAAACGAGTGCGAATCTCATGGGTACGGGCCCAAAACGGGTCAATTTAAATGGGCCCAATATTTAGGGCCCGCACCCAACCCTATGCAGGTATGGGTGGACCTGCGGGTGCCCGTACTGTTCACTCTAGTTTTAGATTTTTGTAGTTACACCCCCAAATCTTTTCTCCCAAGTTTTCTCACCAACCAAAACCAAACAGAAACCCATAACCAAACGGGTGCCAATCATGAACCAAAACCATACACACAAACATTATTTTCTCCCAAGTTTTCTCACCAACCAAACAGAAACCCAGAACCTAACAAAGAAAAAGATAAAAAACTTGTATCAAGCTATAAGTATATTGATTTTCAACAAACTAGTACCAAGCTAAAGTTGAAGATAAATTGACTTAACCGGTATCAAAGCAAAGGTCAAATTGCACACAAAAGCCTCAAGATATGGTAAGAATTTACATATCTAAAGTCATTAGGAAAAATGGCCTTCACACCCTCGGTGGTTTAGGATTTCATCCAGATCACACTTTCCTTACCCTATACTCCATTGATTCATACACTATTTTTTCTAAGGAATTACTCTACATGCTCGGGTACTCTTATGCCAGTATGATATTGGTATTTCCTTCCTTGTTGAATAGACCTTAAATTACCTCTCTGACCTTCAGCAACCTTGGACAGACCAAAAAGATGGTGCTCTTCAATGGTTTCATTCCCTATCGTGGTGGTTTTCTTCCTTCAAGATTTACTCCAACCTTCAATGTTGCTAGATTGTGAAAGCTAAAGACGCCGGAGAATCGACTCCAAGAATTGTAGCTGCTGAAGAGTGAAAAGTAAAGACGAAAGAGATGAGATCAAATCGGTGACGGTGATACACATACCTTGATGCGCCGACAGTGGAGACTAAAAATGTGGCTGATGAGAAACAGAGACAGGAGAAGCGACGACGGTGGAGTTAGGGATTTCGATGATGATGAGTTTGAGAGAAGGCTGATGAGTGAGTGAGTTTGAGGTAGGTTATGGATTTCGCGATTTGGGGCAAAATGAAAAGGGGAAAGGTTTTTTTTTTTTTTTTTTTTTTTTAAAAACACAAACGGGTACCCCGCGGGTGTACCCGCTTGACCGTTGGCAAAATGGGACGAGTCAGGTACGGGTTGAAGAAAATGGGTCCAAATTAAAGACCCACACCCTATATTTTTACCTGGGTTTAGGGTATCCCACCGGTCCAGACCCGTTTTGCAAGTTACGTCTAATAAATTATGGAACCAGTTGTCAAATGTTATGTCGAGATTGTGAGAAAAGTTTATGAGAAATGTTGTGGGGAGCATTACTCTTATTCAAAGCAATAATTGACCACTGCAACCCTCTCCAGCCTAAATCCGTTCTCCTTTTAATATACAAGGATACGCTGCACTAAACAATGAGATGCACCATTTACAAACTCTTATTTAAAGCAATAATTGACCACTGCAACCCTCTCCATCCCTAAATCCGTTCTCCTTTTAATATATAAGGATACACTAACCAATGAGATGCACCATTTACAAACTCTTATTTAAAGCAATAATTGACCACTGCAAACCTCTCCATCCCTAAATCCGTTCTCCTTTTAATATATATGGATACACTAACCAATGAGATGCACCATTTACAAAGCTCCCATGGCTATGGTTATACACTTATACTAAAACTTATAATTATGATCACCATAAGGATAATCTTCAACTTGCTTCCACGTACTCAATCTCAGACCGTAACCACTAACTTCATCTACGACTAAAAATAAAGTGACATGAGCGAATGGTTGCGAGTTAAATAAAAGGGTTCCTACAACATTATGAATAAGGCCTTTGTGTGCCCATTTTCCATACTTCTAGAATTACTGAAAAATCTCCCTTCTTCTACCATTTTCCAAACCTTTCCTTGCATAAACCATTCATAGTTTTCTAGCATAAAAGCCAGTGTTCCATTACTGCAGAAATATAACACTGATTCTTGGCAGGCTTGCAAAATTCAAGAGTATCCAGGTTTGCTCTCGTCAGTGCACAATGCAGACAAACATAATAATGCTTTACTGTATCTGGGAGGCGTATTTGCAAGACCCGGTGCATCACACAATTGGTGGGGGCAAATAACGTCTTCCTTGAAGCAAACTTCTTTCTACACAGTTTGTTTACTACAGAAGTTGTATCCATCAGTTTGTCTTTCTTTTACACTCCATCCGTTTCAATATATATATCGTTTTAAACTTATTACTTTTTTCTAGAATAAATGTCATTTGATAAAAAAGTTGAGCAATCCTCTCTCTCTCTCATTTTATGACCCCTATCTCCTCTCTTTTTCTTTTTTTCTAGTCCTTCGTCTCCTCTCTCTCTTTCTCTTTCAGTCTCTTGGTGTGCCTTTTATTTTCAGCAAATTTAAAATCCCTCATCTTAAGAATCTGTCTCCATAGCTTTAACTGACATCGATCGTAGCTTGTTATAGAGATTAAAAAATAGTTTGTCTTCATTCATTTGTGAGGTTTTTTTGGCTCACATGCGTATTAACTTTCTGTCATCAACTTCATTCATAGCTTCTAATGTTGGAAGAACATTCAAATCAATTTTCTAAAGCGCATATCTTCTACTGTGACATTGCTCACCCATGGTGATTAGCGAAAAAAAAAAAAAAAGATGGAATAAGGTGAAAAAGGAAAAAATACTGTAATTTAGAAGGTATTATTGCTATAATGGCGTAATAAGAGAAAGAGTAATACCTCGTAATGAGGGGGGAAATACTGTAAAACCAAAAATTTTCCCACCTGACTTTGAGAGAGAAGAGTAAATAAGAGCCCGCAAAATAGGAGAGAGAAAATTTGAGTGAGCTTTTATTAATATAAAAGAGTGCTAACAAATTATTGATGATGATTTATTTACATTCAAAAATTACTTTCTCTAAAACAAATCTTCTAACTTTTTAAATTACCTTGAAAATGGATAGAAAAATATTACAATAATTCTGACGTGGTAGTTTATAATTGATCAGCTCATAATGGTTCTTATTATATAAATTATGATTGATTAATTACGAACTATTATTAGAGGTGTTCAAAAGAATCGATTGGAATCGGACGGGTACCCTGGGTTTGGTTTCGATTCCTATCTAGAACCAATCGTTAATGGGTAGGTTCTGGTTCCAAATTTTTGGAACCGTTACTGTAGTTAGGAATGAGAACCGGAACTAGGAACTAGGAACCAGAAACCAAGACTAATATAAAATAAAATTAAATATTAGGGGGGTTAATAAAAACTTTTGTAGAAAAAGTAATATGAATACATTTATATTTATATTTCATAACATTTAAAGTAAGTTGGTTTGACTTTTGAGAATCGACCTTTACAAAGTAACGGAGTTTGTCATTTTGAATTTATAATTTATAATTTTATTTCTGTTAACAAGTGTCAGGTGAGGGGTATTTGTAAGTTTTTAAGGATTTTTTTGTCATTTTAAAAACTTTGGGGGGTCATGTGATTTTACAGAGTACCCAGAACCGAAACCGGAACCGTTGTTACATGTTCTGATTCTGGGTACCTAGGAACCGGAACCGTCGGTTCCGATTCTGGTTCCAAATTTCAAGGAACTATCAGTTCTGATTCTGATTTCGATTCTTTCAAAAAGTGTAGGGTACCTGGAATCGAACACCCTTAACTATTACGATAGGGCGGTAAAAAGAAATTGATGAGAAAAGGTTACAAATGTTTATTACTCATCCATGAAACATGATCATAAAAAGAATACTGCGAGGCAACCCATTAGAAGAACCAACTTTTGGACAAAACAATATTTTGTAAGAGTCAACTTTTGAACACTTCATTGGGTTTAACGTCCAAAAGCACTTCCTTCCACGCGCTTTGCCCACGCGTGTATCAGTTAAACGTACAAAATGTTCCGGGAATTTCCAAGTAGGTAAGCAAAGCAAGCACCTGGATTTCTTGTCCCGCCACCATGTTAACACCATTTTAATGATGAAATTATTATTTTTTAT